AATTAACTAGAGTCACTTTGGTTTCATGGATACATTTTCCACCCAGCTGGAATAAATTCTTTCAGTTGCAAGGCCATTTGATTTGAGAGAAAGTTGTAGTCATGAGTTTGTAGTTGTCCTTGTATATTTCGTATTTGACTCTACTAACATTGGACGACTTGCCTCCATATTTACTAGCACATCGATTCTTCCATAGGTTCCAACAAATGAATATTGGTGTAGCTTGTAATAAAACCTATGTGCTTCATTGTTGTACTTGGCTGACCACCATTGCATGATGAGTTGGGGGAGGGAGCTGTGATCTGTATTGATACCAGCAGTTCCTGCAAAACTTTTCCACACGTAGGTCGCAAACTGTCCATTGTTGAATATGTGTTCTATAGTATCTAGGCTTGGCCTGCTGCAACAACAAAAACAATTTGCTGGCTCAATACCAAAGCTGGTTAGTTTTTCGTTAGTAGGAAGCTTACCACGAAGAATTCTCCACAAAAGAAAAGAAATTTAAAAAGGGATACTCTTATGCCAAATGAATGAGTTGAACTTGGTCTTGGTCCTCTTCTCCCTGATCTCATTCCATGCAGATGAACATCTGAATTTTCCATCATTGTTTGGTTTCCAGATTGCTTGGTCAGATAAGTCCTGTTGGGTGTAAAGCTTTGTGAACAGGATGTTGGCCAGTTGACTGTTAGGTGCCTGTTGAATGAACATGTCCCAATTCCATTGTCCTTCAAGCCAAAATTCTGCCACAGTGATGTTGTTAAATCTATGTCTGTCAGTAGAGAAGTGAGCAAGAGGTCCGACACCTAGCCAATTGTCCCACCAAAAGGAACAATTGCCGGAATTGAGTTTCCATTGAATGTGTTCTTCAACTTTATGTTTGTTATGCATAAGATGTTTCCAGGTCAAAGACTCTCATGTATCCCATTTCTTGCCAATTGGATTAGACCTTTGACAATATTTAGCTTTCAAAAAGTCTACCCATAGGGTCTGTTTGGATCTAAAAATCCACCATTGTTTATATTGAAAGGCCTTGCACACATCCTTGAGATTCCTCATACCAACACCCCTCTCATCATAAGGAAAGCTTAAATTCTTCCAAGAATCTCAATGGTATTTTTTCCTCTCATCCCTCCATCCCCAGAAAAAGTCAGCCATGATGCTTTGGATCTGCTTGAGGACAGTAACTGGAGGAGTCACTGCTGATAAGAGATGAATAGGTAATGACTGCAACATATGCTTGACCAATATTGCTCTACCACCATAACTTAATAATTTAGTTTGCCAACCTGTGATTCTGCACAAAACCTTGTTAATAAGATCAGAAAAATAAATAATCCTAGGTCTACCAACAAATAAAGGGCAACCAAGGTAGGTGATAGGGCCTTCCTTCTGTTTGAAACCAGTGATTCTCTTGATTCTGTCTCTTGTACTATTGAAAGCACATGAATGAACCATAAAATGACTTTTGTCTGTGTTAACCAGTTGGCCTGAGGTCTCCTCATAGGAATTCAAAGTCTGCATGATGAGTTTCAGAGTTTTTTGTCTTCCAAAAGTGAAGAGGATGATATCATCTGCAAAACTTAAATGGTTCACTTGGGGACCTCTGAGTTCCATGAAAAAACCATGATATTCTGGATTGTTGTGAAGCCTATTCAGGGATCTAGAAAGGACCTCTGCACCTAAAATAAATAGGGCAAGAGATAAAGGATCCCCATGTTTGAGACCTCTAGTGGATTGAAAGAAACCATGTCTTTTGCCATTAACAATAATAGAATACCAATTGTTAGCCATGATCCTCCAAATCATATCAATAAAGACTTCATCAAACCCCATTCTTCTCAACACCAAGCATATATAGGACAAAGAAACCCGATCATATGCTTTAGACATGTCCAGTTTAATAATAACATTGCTACCAATGTTTGGTTTCTTAATCTGATGAATAATCTCTTGGCCCAACATAATGTTTTATGATGTACTTCTCCTTTTGACAAAACCAGATTGGTTGAGGGAAACCAAATTCGGTAAGATAGGACCTGGTCTAGAACTTACTAGTTTAGATATGATCTTGCTTGTGAAGTTGCTAAGACTAATGGGCCTGAATTATGTGAGCTTAATTGGGGTTGTTCACCTTAAGAAGAAGAACAATGCAAGAATGAGAGAAATATTTGGGAATCATTTGACCACAAAAGAATGCTTGAATGACACCACGGTCCCATCCGGACCAGCTGCAGAATTAGGATTCATAGAGAACACCACCTCCTTTAATTCTTGCAGATTAAGCATGGTAGTGAGGCTTTCATTCTGCTCCTGATTGACCATCCTAGGAAAACAATCCAAGGTCCCTTCATTAATTAACTTATTGTCCCCTGTAAAAATATTCTGGAAATGATCACAGGCAGCCTTAGCAATAGTATCATCTCCCTATAACCATTTCCCATCATCTCTAATAAGCATATGAATAAACAACCTTCTTCTTCTCCCTCTTATCAGGGAGTGAAAGTATTTAGTATTGGCATCACCCGCCTTGAACCATTGTAGTTGAGTTTTCTGTTTCAAAATGGAATCCTCCAACTTTAAAAACTTGATATAATCTGCATTAAGCTCATGAAGGATTGTCCTGTTGGTATCCTTATGATCATGAGTGAGGTTCTCCTCAGCCACTCTAATCTTCTCCTCATATTCCCTGACTTTACTAAAAATATCACCAAGTTCCCTCCTGGACCAAGAACTAAGGGTGTTGGACAACCTTTTCAACTTCTGATGAAATCTCCACGTGTTGTTACCCTCTACAGTCCTTTCCCAACAAGTTTTAGCAGTGCCCAGGAAATTAGTTTGGTCAGCCCAGCAGTTTAGGAATTTAAAGTATCTGATGTGCTCCTCTTCTTTTGCATTCAGATCCATCAATAGAGGACAGTGATCAGACCCTATAGAAGGCAGGTGGGTGATAGTAGTCTGGGGCATCTTTTCCAGCCAAGCATCATTAACTAAAGCTCTGTCCAGCCTTTTCCAAATTATGTGTTGTATACCCCTCTTGTTGGACCAGGTAAATTTCTGCCCATTGAAGCCTAAAACCATAAGACCACAAGCTTCAATAATAGGAATGAACTCTAAACTTACTCTCAAGTTGTAAGGAACCCCTCCCAGCTTCTCTTCAATAAAACTAATAACATTAAAGTCACCTACAGAGCACCAAGGTCTGTTAGTTTCTGCAGCTTGATATAACATTCTATCCCATAAAGGTCTTCTAAGATGATCTTTACACTTGGCATACACAAAGGTGGTGGTGAATTGGGTCTGAAGTTCATTATGGCCAATGTCACAAGTAATGTGTTGCTCATCCTCCTCTAGTACTACACAATCAATGTCCATACTCCAGAAAAGCCAAATTTTTCCATTGCAATTACTCACAGCATGCTCCATAGCTAATTGGTTTTTAAAATTTTCAACATGAGTACTATCTGAAAAAGGTTCAAGCATAGCAATGATGGAGAGTCGGTGCATCTTTTTGAGCATTTTAAGTCTTTCAAGTTCCCCTTGGGTGTTGATCCCCCTCACCTTCCAAATAATTGTACTAATCATTGAGATGATCTGGAAGTAAATAGGCTAGTGTTTGGTCTGCCAACAGTGACAGTGTGGATGTCCTGAATTTTGAATTGGAATCTATCATGGTGTATTCCTCTGGGGGATAATCCCTGATTATTAGTCACCTGCTGAATGTCATCTGTAAGACCCTTATCAGGATGAGGACTAAAAGCTCTAATCAATAATTCACTAGTCTCATCATCATCATCAGGGTCCTTTAGGGATTGATTATCCTCATCAGGTTAATCCTCCGAGTTGTCAACAACATATTCATCAATTATAGGACCTTTGTTCATTTGACACTTTTCAAGCCTTTTATCTGGAGGGACATTAAGTGGAGAGGTCATATAATGGGCTTGTAGAGGAGTCATATCCATGCCCAATTACTCATCAACCATAATAAACTTCTTACAAATTTCACATTTTAGTTGACCCCGAATGGACAGAATATCTCGAATGATGTGCTTCCATCATAATCCTCTTTCTCAGTTCATCTACGTTAGGTACACACAATTTGTTTTGACACCGATGTACTCCCTCTTGCGTAAGTTCAAATGCTTTTGTCATACCTTATAGTACATTCTCCTTAAGCTGTAAAAGAATAAGATCAGTGTACTGCTTCTCTTTCACTTCCACTACTAATGAGGATTCTGCCGCATTTTGCACAACAACCCCTTCGTCTGAAGATTCAAGAAGGCAAACCCCCAAGCTAGCTAGTTGGCATAGATCCTTAGTTATTCCTTGTCTTTCCATAGACTGCCCACAAGTGCTTGCCATTATTTTATGGCTTAAAGCATCAGCTACTATATTGGCTTTACCGGGATGATTCAAGATAATAATGTCATAATCATTTAATAGCTCCAGCCATCTTCGCTGCCTCAGATTTAGGTCCTTTTGCTTAAATATATATTGCAAACTCTTGTGATCAATGTATATGTCAACATGAACTCCATACAAGTAGTGGCACCATATTTTCAAAGCAAACACAACTGCTGCTAGCTGTAGATCATGGGTTGGATAATTTTTCTCATGTGGCCGCAACTGCCTTTACCATGTTGCATCAATACACAACCCAAGCCCACTCCCGAAGCATCACAATACACTGCATAGCCTTCCGTGCCTTCTGGAAGTACCAATACAGGTGTAGAAGTTAATTTATTCTTCAGCTCTTGGAAGTTTCTTTCACATTCATCACTCCACTGCTGGTGAATTTGTTAGCCCGAATGACATGACTAAAAATTCAAAATGACCATACCGTGTTCGGAAAGCTGTCTTGGGTATATCTTTGTCTTTGACCCTCACTTGGTGATAACCCGACCTCAGGTCGATCTTTGAAAAACACCTTGCACCTTGTAACTGATCAAACAAATCATCAATTCTAGAGAGGGGATATTTGTTCTTAATCGTTACCTTATTTAACTGCCGGTATCGATACAAATTCTTAACGAGCAATCTTTCTTGCGTACAAACAAAACTGGTACCCCCCATGGGGACATACTAGGCCTTATGAATCCTTTTTCTAGTAAGTCTTTTAATTGCTCCTTCAACTCCCGTAATTCTGCCGGGGTCATTCTATATGGAGGGATGGAGATAGGTTGAGTATTTGGAATCACATCAATGCTAAACTCTACTTCTTGTTCTGGGGGTAAACTTGGAAGATCTTCAGGAAATACATCAGGAAACTCAATCACTAGCGGAATGGATTGAAGAGTTGGTGACTCCACATCTCTATTTTTCACTCTCACAAGATAGCATATGTATCCTTTGGACATCATCTTCTTTGCCTTAAGATAAGAAATAAATTTACCTCTTGGTACCCCAATATTACTTTTCCATTCAAGGACTGCCTCTTTTGGAAAATGAAAATGCACCATCTTAGTTCGGCAATCAACCGTGGCATAACAAGAAGCTAACCGATCCATACCCTAACATCAAAATCTACCATTTCTAGCTCAACAAGGTCAGCCAACGTATCACGATCACAAACAGTTACAATACAATTATGATTTACCCTTCTAGCTATAATAGACTCACCAATCGGTGTAGACACTTCAAATGGCTTCACTAATAATTCTGATGTTCTTCTGAACTTTTCAGCAATCAATGGAGTAACATATGATAGTGTAGACCCCGGATCAATTAATGCATATACAATATGTGAAAAGATGGACAATGACCTATAACCACATCCGGCGAGGCTTCGAAATTTTGTCGATCCCCTAGAGCATATGTGCGATTTTCTGAACTCTACTAAAACTAGCTGCTCCCCTTGATCCTCTACCCTGACCAGTAGGCATTTGTCCCCTACCCAAAGAAGGTGCTGATGATGATGATGCAACAACTGATCTAGTAGGTTGTGCAACACCACCCACACCCCTATGAGGGCAATTTCTCATCAGATGACCCGGTATACCACACCAAAACAAACATTTGTTCCAAACCTACATGCACCTAGATGATTCCTTCCACATTATTTACAAGACTGTCGAGGAGGTCTTGATTGGCTCATACTTCCCTGCTCTTGGTACCCCGTTGTTCGTGAACCTTGGCTTCACCTCTTTGCCCAAATTGATTGCCTCTAGACTCTTGACACCGAGGTGGGCCACTAGCTGTAGAGTAGGAAGATGAAGGCCTAGGCGGTCTGTTAAAGAACCGAGGCCTTAACTCTCCTTGGGATGGTGTGAACTACCCCATGGATCTGGCCCTCTTAGAATGCCCTATTTCTGACTCTTGTGTCCTTCTTCTTTGCCTTTGATCCTCCAACTTTTGCGCAATAGCTTGCATCCCTGCTATAACCATATCTTTATTCAACGAAGCAATGGTGTAGTCTCTAACCAGATATGAATCTAATCTATCCACATATGGATGAACTCTATCCTCCATAGTAGCTACTACATTAGGAGCATACCTGGCCAAGGAATTAAATTTGACACTGTATTGTCTCACACTCATACTTCCTTGGTAGAGATTTAAGAACTGATCTGCACGGGTCTCTCGGATCTCCAATGGCAGATAATGGTCAAGGAATACCTTTTTGAACTCTTTCCACGTAGTTGAAGGTGTAACTGTTCCCCTAGATTGCATCCAAGCTTCATACCACAATATAGCCACACCCTTTAATCTAGATGTTGCTAGCTCAAGTGCTTCTTTACCACTTACATGCATAACATCCAAAGTGCGTTGGATTTGATCTATAAAGTCCTGTGGATCTTCATTAGGATCTGATGGAGGGTCCAAATTAAGGAAGTCACGTATCCGCATACCAGCTTCTCTGTCTACACCACAGTACCTGCAACTTGACCTTCTTGCCTTTGGCCGTAGCCAGCAACTATACGAATCAATAATTGGATTGCATTCCTCAAATCTTTGCTCGGTAGCATTAATAGTGGGTTCTTGAGGTGTAGCTTCCCTCCTTAGATATTCTGGAGATGGAGGGGTCGGGGAAGTCTGTGATAGAGACTCATCTTGAGCCTCACTTTGAATAGCTTGATTAGGTGGTGGTTGGCTGGTCCCTTCTAGGCCAGCCACCTCTACTCGCTTACCTATACTTTTACTTCTTCTCGTAACCGGCATCTTTGCTATAATAAAGCAATTTAGAAGTTAGATACGATTCACATACAACATTGGTTCTATCACACGATCTACGAAATGAAAGAAAAGAAACAACTCCTAAATGTTTCATAGCCTCCTGTTTATAAATGTGGTGCACAACACATCCATAAGCAAGACTCTACACAGTCACAACTTTGTAGATTCCCTAGGATGACCTGCTCTGATACCATTTTTGTCACGCCTCACATTCCTTTAAGACGGACAGGCACCCGATACCCTAAAGGCCCGAGAGAACCAGCATGTAACCTGTGCTTAACTATGTATATAACTATGAGAATCTTGTGACAAGTTCACGTAGGATGCAGTGATACGAACCAACATAAGTAGACCTAAAACTTATATACATGACTTGGCCGATGAGACCACCACTTGTTAAGATGCAACTGAACCATATACATAAGTCTACAAAGCCTCTAAAAGATAGAAAACCTTAGAATAGGTCGGGACAGACTCCGCCTTGCTTTTAGCTACTATACAATACCAAAATGAAACTACCAAGGACTCAGTAAAACTCCGAATCAATCTGGAGCTCACCAAAAGTAGCTGAGTGTGGTGTGCTCCTACTGAGGAGGTCTACTAGCTGAAGTACCTGTGCCTACAGCATGAAATGCCGTATCCTCCCACGAGGGACGTCAGTACGAGAAAATCTACTGAATATGTAACACATTAACATTGATAAATAAGAGTTTGAATGAAACCGAGTGTCAATACATGTGTACATAAATCAAAATAGAAGATCACCTTTGTTAACTCTTGTGGGATCATGTATGCTACATTCTTGTCTTTAACTTTCTGTGTGTTATGATCTTTATAAGGCATGTGATACGAATGACCAACTGATCAGTTGTAGAAGAGGATGACCCATGCTAGGCATTTAAATCCCTGGGATGCGGTCCTCATAATTACACAAATTGGGATCAGCCCATGCTAGGCTTTCGCCCTTGAGCTGCCACCCATAATTATACAAATTGCTTTATTTAGATTCTTTAATCTTTGAGATTGTTGTTTTGGTGGTCATAATCATTTTTGATATTTGGAATTACGGACCAATAGTAGAAGACATGAAAATAATACTTCAAGGCAGTAACAATAACATAAGGAGTTATGTAACATCAATGCATTACTGGTGAGCTTAAATGACACAATTGACTTCAACTGACTAAGAGGAGGATTCACCAAACTTGCTTTTGTAAATACCATTTTTATACCAGCACATAGGAGGATATTTACACAAGTATAGAGTGGTGAACATATAATGAAGTAATTCTATACACTAAGGGGAGGGGGAAATATTGTCAACTATTTGAAGATCGTACGCTGCCACTATGTTTCCTTTACTAGGAATAGAACTTGGGAAATTCCATTATTGATATTGATTGCAAATATCAGATTTCATGCCGAAGAATATTGAATCGAATAGCCTTACATACCTTATTCTCTGACCAATATAACTATCACGATTCAACCTCCCCTTTTAGGTGTTAATACGTAAGTCATGATAAACTAATATTAGCAGCTATCACACCTGAGCCTCGTAAAACAGTAACTAACTTTGACTGGTAATGAGCCCATACACCCCTTAAATAATGTGTGTCAGCTCATCCTCCTTCTCTGCCCAATACACATTATATATCATTTTCCAAGATTATCCAAGCTGGACCAACAACAATACACATAAAACAGCCTCAAATATTCTTTATCATACAACCAATTGCTGAACTCACCACCCCTTGAGTTCTTTTGTGACAGCACACCACCGATAATTCCTCACTCAAACTCATACATAAGGAAGTAGAAAATGGAGCAGTCACCTTACCTCAATTTCTGCAACTTCTCCTTATAACTTGTATTTCTGTAGAACTTCAACTTCCCTTCACACTTAACCCAAAGAAGAAGAGAAAAGTATCTTAATAATTAAGGAAAGTAAGCAGTAAATTGTGGAAACTTCTGCCTTCTACTTATAATTGTGCATGAATAACGTTTTTTTTACGTTTATGATTTTTATGATTAGGGTTTTTAAATGTTTTAGGGTTTCTTAGGTTTTCTTATGAATTTGGATTTCTTAAGATTTAGGGATACGTAAGCCTAATTTAGGGAATATGTTTTAAGTTTTGGGTTTTTTTTTAGGGCTTATGTTTTTAAAGGGATTTATTTTTTTTCCTCGGGTATTATAGTTTTAGGGGTTTTAATGGATTTTAGGGTTTAGGGTTTAGCCCTATGGTTTATAGTTAAGGATTCAGAGTTTCTTAGGGTATATGATGTAGTGTTTAGGATTTCTTAGGGATTGATTTTTTTAAGGTTTTTAGGATTTAGGGTTTAGGGTTTAAGATTTTCTAGGGTTTTAAGATGTTTAGGATTTTTATGGCTTTTTTACGATTAAGGGGTTCTTGGATCATTTAGAGTGTAGGGTGTAGTGTTTAAGGTTTGGGGTTTTTCTAGAATAGGGTTTAGGTTTGTTAGGTTTAAGATTTTTAGAGGTTTTCTAAGTTTAGAGTTTTTAAAGTTTTTTTTGTTGCTTTTTAGGGTTTTGGTGTTTCTTAGTGCTTTATTGGGTTTAGGGTTTGGGATTTTCTTAGGGTTAGCGTTTGGGGTTTTCTGAGGGTTAGGGTTTTTGGATTATGATTTTTAAGGGTTTCTTAGGGTTTAGGGTTCAAGGTTTAGAGTTTGGGATTTCGGGTTCTTTAGGTTCAGAGGTTTTAATGTTTTTTTAAGGTTTTTTAGGGTTTAGGTTTTCTTTGTGATTTTTAGGGTTTAGGTTTTCTTAATGATTTTTTAGGGTTTAGGGTTTAGGATCTTTGGTTTTAGTGTATTAGGGTTTATAAGGGTTTAAGGTGTAGAGTTTCTTAGGGTTTTTTTAGGGTTTATGAGGGCTTATGATTTCTTAAGGATTTTCTAGGTTTAGGGTTTAAGGGATTTTGTTAGGGTTTCTTTATGTTTAGGATTAGGGTTTAGGCCCGCCCTAAGGTATAGGGCTTAAGGTTTTGGGTTTCGAATTCTAGGTTAAGAGTTTTGTAGGGTTTATGATTTTTATAAGTAGGGTTTTTAAATGTTTTAGGGTTTCTTAGGTTTTTTTAAGAATTTGGATTTCTTAAGATTTAGGGTTACGTAGGCCTAATTTAGGGCATATGATTTTAAGTTTTGGGTTTTTTTTAGGACTTATAGTTTTAAAGGGATTTATTTTTTTTCCTCGGGTACTATAGTTTTAGGGGTTTTAATGGATTTAAATGATTAGGGTTTCATATGGTTTGGGGTTTAGGGTTTA